GCCTCTCGCCCTATGACAGCTGGGATAGGCTCCAGCGCCCACCGCGACCCTGAAAAGGAGATGGGATGGATGTTATGTTGCTTTCTACTTTTACTGCGCTGTATTCTGGATGCAATTACTGTACACCATGCTATTTCTTTTAAAGCTTTAGTTTGCTGACTAGTGGGGTTTACACATTATGGAGTCACCAGCTTAGCAAGTGCAACACACTATCCATACCAAGCGTCAGTCATCAATGCATTGTCATACGGAGCTGAACTTCATCTCGTGATGCTGACAGTGTGCTTACTGTATATATGTTTAAATCTGTGCTGGTGTAGGATGTTGTTAACTGTGGAATACTTTTGATTTTGGTTTTCAGGCATCCTCTTATGTTTGAAATGGTTTATTTTGATGGGTCTGTCTAGCACAGGCCCACCACTGGAATGAGACAATTTAACTACACACCAAAAGCATTAAACACCATGTAGGCAAAGTTCTTTGTGTTACTCATGCATGAGGGAGAGGACTGGACCTCAGTGGCTCTCGTCTACTCCCTCGTAACACTGCTCTTTCATTGAGGTTACATGAATATGCATAAGTTCATTAACATATGACGTTTCATATAGATATACATGTGGACAAAGAATACCTTGTCTGTGTGTCGTGTAGGTATGTGTATGTGTATGTGTGGGGTCAAGATGTGACCCTGTGAAGACTCCCCAAAGCTGTTGCCAGGAGTCTAGCGGTCCATTTAAACAAAGGGCTCTTAACAGATAAACAGATATACGTGTGTTTGCTATACCATATATCAGCAAGAGAAGATACAACCTCTCCTAGGAGGTGTGTGATCCATGCCAGAACACTCTGAAGAGGAGTGAACGCACTCCCCTCTTCATGCTACACAGAGTTGTTACAGACCTCCTAGGATGAGACATTCTTCCAATATGCAATCAACTATATACTTCTAAGAATATATAAATATATATTTCTAAACATAAATGACAATCCAACAAAATAAACCTGACATATTTTATCATATAAACCATCCCACAGAGCAACCAAGCAGGAAGCCCTTCCCACTTGAGCTCAACCAGACTAAAAGTTAAGCGCCATCTGATGATGCTACTGACGAGTTTTTGTTTTCTCCTTTCAGAAGCTATCTCATATAATCCAACTCTCTGGTCGTATTAAAGTTCAATTTTCTTCAATAAGATTTGATAAGAATAATTCATTACATAGATCGAGTCACTAGTTCTACCAATGTGAAAATGAAGGTGCTATATTTTTCCCAAATTTCCATATATTTTTGCAAAATATAGCATTTATGTTTCTTAACATCTCCACCTGTTCATCTTAAGGATGGTTTATTTTTATTTATTTTTTACCAGATTTTGTTAGCTTGTCATTTGATGGCTCACCTAATAGCTTTAAGTGAGTATTTGAACTAAAATGACATTAACACCCCTGAGCTAAAGGTTTAATCAGTAACATCACATGACCTAATTGAACAAGTGAGAGAGAACATGTTAATGAATGTGAAAATGCTAATGTGCGTAAGCTGATAGATGGTTCAGTGGCTGTTCACGACCATTTAATGACCAAAATAGCTGTCAGTCAAATATTTTGTTTGTTTTTTTAAAACAACAACAACAACAGTCACTGGGTTTTTCCTTCCTCTGTAAGAGACGGTCTGACCAAATATCTAGTCACGGTGGTGTTTTTTGCCTGGGGACATTTACCCGGGGACAAATTTATCTTTTGCATCCATATTTCAAATACTTTTGCTACAATGTTTCCGTGTTACCACATGCAAACTAGTTATTTTACATTTACACTAGCTGAATGACTGTGTATCGTGAATTCTGTGTTTCCCTGTGTGAACAGGTGGGGTGTGTCTATGTGTGTGCGTATTAGTTAAATGTTGGGTTTTCTACCCTTCATCTCATTTTTCTTCAAAGTTCACCAAACCAGAGATCAGGTAAGAAAGACTTCCTATAAAAATGTACAGCTTGAAACATTCAACAATGTTTCTGAAGCTTACTGCACTGTTGTATCGTTTTTCTCAGTCATTTTCAAGTGAGCTGATGAACCAGTGTACTCAAATGATGCTGAGTAAAACAAGGGGGATTTTCAAAGGTTTTCATATCTTCACAGAATTAGAAAGAAAATTCTGGAGTCTACTTATCATAATTACTCATGGGTCAGTAAAAGAGAGGATGAACATTAAGTAACAAATGTAATAATTTTATCGCAAGATATTTAAAAGAATGAGACTGATGACAGGTTGTACTGAAAGATATGCAAACAAGTTCAAATAGCTTCTGAAGTCACTCCAAT